GGGGCGAGGGCGAGAGGGCGGCGCGCTCGACTCACCCGACGCGGCGAAGAGGCCGGGGGCGCAGAGCAGCGCGCCGCACAGCGCGGCCAGCAGGCGGGGGCCCGGCATGCTGCGGGGACGCGGGCGCGGGACGGGGCGCGCTCGGCAGTCGAGACCCGCGGGGTTCGCGCTCCTGCAGCTCTGGGACCAGAATAAATCAGCAGCTCAGCACCTCCCACCGGCCCATGTGCTCCGCCCAGGCCGGCTGGAGGCGGCCTCGGGGCGGGACTCCACGGCCTGGGAGGGAACGGGGTGGGAGGGAATGGAGGGGTCGGCGACACCCGCCTCCCGCCTTGGCCACACCCGCTTCCCTTGTCCGGCCAGCGGGTCCTAAGATGATTGCACAGGGAAGGGCTCAGGAAAAGTTAAAGAAAAAGAGAGTGATTTTAGACTTAATGAAAAGATGCTAAACCTCATTCATAAAAAGAAAAATGCAAATTAAGACTACAGGAGTACCGTGTTTCACTTATCAAATTGGCAAGTATCAAGTTAACAGAGTTAGTGGAAGCTGTTGGGGAACACGCCCAAGCATGCATTGTTGGAGAGAGTATAAATTTCTCTGGAGGGCTATTTGGAAATACCCATCAAAACGACAAATGCTGACACCATAAGACCTAGCAACTCCGCCGGCAGGCATTCATTCTACAGAAACTCACAAGTGCAAAATGACATATATCCAAAGATATCACAGCAGCATCGTTTGAAATGGTAAAAGACTAAAAAGAGAACCAGCAAACTTTTTCTGTAAAGGGCCAGCTAGAAAATATTTCAGGATTTGTGGGCCAAGGTCTCTATGGGGACTTTTCACCTCTGCCCTTGTAACAGGAAAGCAGCCATAGAGGATAGCAAGGAAATAAGTACGTAGTTGCTAAGGGAAAGGAAACCAGGGTATGAAGGAGACTTGCTCGTCACAATTGACTCTTTTTTATCATGTGCAAGTATCACCTGTTTACAAATAAATGACTTTCGTAATAGTGTTCCCATCAGACAAGCAAACAAACAAAAAAACGCCTTTCATCTCCCCTACCAACTGTGTTAAGACCTAGGTTGGGACTAGAGTCCACACAGGAGGCCCTTCTTAAGACTGTCAAGAAGGCAGAAAACCACATATGATCAATTCAATAGTCACAGAAAAAAAAACATTTAATAATATCTGATATCTTTTTATGATAAAACACTAAACAAACTAGAAGTAAGAAACCTGTATTGTTAAGATGACAATACTCCCCCAAATTGTTATACAGGTTCAATGCAATTCCTATCGAAATTCCATTTGCCCTTTTGCAGAAATTGACAAGCTAATTCTAAAATTCATATGAAAATGCAAGAGACCCAGAATAGCCAAAACAATCTTGAAAAAGGGCAAAGTTGGACTTTTTGATTTCATAACTTACTACAAAGCTATAGCAATCAAGACTGGATGATACTGGCATAAAGAGAGTACATGTAAGATTAATGGAATAGAATTGAAAGTCCAGAAGTAAATCCATATGTCTATGGTGAATTAATTTTCAACAAGAGCACCAAGACAATTCAATGGGGGAAGAATAGTCTTTTCAGCAAGTGGTTGTGGAACAGCTAGATAGCTACATACAAAAGAATAAAGTTGGACTCCTACCTCACAGTTTACCGAAGAATTAAAGCGAAATGGATCAAACACCTAAATGTAAGAGCTAAAACCATAAAATTCATAGAGGAAAACAAGCATTAATCGTCATGACCTTGGGTTAAGCAATGGTATCTTAGATATGACAACTTAAGCACAAGCAACCAAAAGGAAAAATAGATAAATTGAACTTCATCAAAATTAAAAACTTTTATACTTCAAAGGACACTGTCAAAAAAGTGAAAAGACAACCAACAGAATGGGAGAAAATATTTGCAAATCAAATGTCTGATAAGGGTCTAATATCTAGAATATATAAAGAACTCATAACTCAGCAACAAAAAAACAACAAAATTTGAAAATGGGCAAAGGATTCCAATAGACATTCATCCAAATAAAATATGCAAATTGCCGATAAGCACATGAAGAGATTTTCAACATCATTAGTCATCAGGAAAATGGAAGTCAAAACCACATGTGATACCACTTCACACACCCACGAGGACAGCTATAATCAAAATGAAAAATGACAAGTGTTGGTGAAAATGTGAAGAAATTGGAGCCCTCATTCATTACTAGTGGGAATGTAAAATGGTGCAGGCACTGTGGAAAACAGTTTGGCAGTTCCTTAAAAGATTAAGCTTTTATTTCTTTACCCTTTTTTGTTGGTGGTGGTGGTGGCTGGATGGTATGGGGATCTGAACCCTTGATTTTGTGTTATCAGCACCACAGTCTAACCAAGTAAGCTAACCAGCCACCCCTAAAAGAATAAGCACAGAATTATCACATGACCCAACAATTCCACTCCTAGATCTATACCTAGGAGAACTGAAAACATATGTTCATACAAAATCTTATAACACCATTACTCATAGTAGCCATAAAGTGGAAACAACCCAATATCCATCAACTGATGAATGAATAAACAAAGTTGCAAATCCATACGATGGAATATTATTCAGCCTCAAAAAAAAAAAAAAGAGTACTGATACTTGCTGCAACATGGATGAACCTCAAAAAAATTATGCTAAGTGAAAAGAGCCAGACACAAAAGGTCACACATTGTATGATTCCATTTATATGAATTGTCCAAGGACTGGCTGGTGGCTCAGCTGGGAGAGCATGGTGTTGATAACACTAAGGTCAAGGGTTTGGATCCCTGTTACTGGCCAGCCACAAAACAAAAACAAACAGAAAAACCAGAAAGAAATATATGAGTTGTCCAGAACAGGCGAATCTATACAGAGAAAAAGTACATAAGTGGTTGCCAGGGACCAAAGTGAGGAGAAAATGAGGAGTCACTACTCATGGGTACAGGGTTTCTTTTTGGGGCAATGAGGATATTCTGAAATTAGATAGTGGTAATGGCTACGCAACTTTGTGAATATACTAAAAAATCACTGAACTGTACATTTTAAAAGGGTGACTTTTATGTTATGGAAATTATATTTCAATAAAAAAGAAATACGACTCTAGAAATCCATCTCGGGTGGCAGAAAGAGAGAACTGTGAGCATCATGCCACTTAACTCCTGTAGAACAGAAGTTTCTGGTCATCAGCTTTCTGCCACCCACCTGGCACAAGTGCACAATGATCCAGTTAAGACATGTTTAATCACTGAGTCATTCAACAAACACTTACTGAGTACCAACTGTGGTGAGCCCTGTGACTAGAAACTCTGGCTGCACATTAGCATCACTTGGGAAGATTTTTAAAAATACAGATGACCAGGACCCATCACAAAGCAGAATCCCTGGAGTGAAGCCTGGACATCAGTATTTTTTTAAAGCTCCCCAGATTAGGTTAACGTGCAACTAGTATGAGAACCACTGGCCACAGTCACTGAGGACAAAGACAGAAGACCTATGCCTTGAGACCTGGAGCTGATGGGGTTTTAAGAAGGGAGGGAGGGAGAATGAAAAGGGAGGGGATTTTCTTATATGATCTGACCCTTGTACAGCAAAGTGGGATGATATGTCCTTTATCTCCTTGGCCTGAACACTTTTCTTACCCAGTACGAGAGCATCATAGCATTACCCGATGTAGTGGATTGAATTATGTCCCCCAAAACTCCCTGAAGCTTGAATTTTGTCCCCCAAGTTGTATGTATTAGAAACTTAGACCCCACTGTGACTGCTAGGAAGGTGGGAAATCCTATTATGGTAATTGAAAGATGGTGCCTTGAAGAGGCAATTGGATTGTAGGACCATGCAGTAGTGAATGGATTAAAAATGGTGGCCAGGGGCACAGTTCTGAGGACTTTAAAAGAAGAGAAGAGTGTGCCTTTTTCTCTTTCTGCTTCCACCATCTTGCAATGTGAGACCCCTGGGTCACTGTTGCCACCACCAGATGGACTTTGGACTTCCCAGCCTCAGAAAGTGTAAGCAATAAGTGTTGTTTTTCTTTATAAATCACCCAGTTTCAGGTATTCCGTTATAAGCAACATAAACGGACTAATACATGGTTTGGTTAAATTTTTATTTTTTGGCAGCTGGCTGATATGGGGATCAGAACCAGTGACCTTGGTGTTATAAGGCTCTGCTCTAACCAACTGAGCTAACCGCCATCCTGGTTAAGTTTTTTAACAGTCTCATACCATGATCATATTAAACAGGTAATCCATTAAAAACTTTCAGATTTTTGTTATACAAATGATATGGAAACCAGGTGTGCCTACTAGAGGATTTAACACAGAAAATAAAGGTAACCTTGGGAAATTCAAAAACAGTCACTTTTTTTAAAAAATAAATACATAAAATAAAAATAAAAAATTAAAAAATTTTTTAAAAACAGTCACTTTTTCACTTCTGGAATGTAGGTGGTCAGGAGAAATGAAGGCCACAGTGGAAGTCACATACCAGATGCACAGATGGCACTGTGTTTGTTGGGGACTCTGTGGATGTCGAAAGGATGGGAGAAGCCAAATATGAACTTCATTAAATAAATAGGAAATCAGAAAGTCAAGAAGTTCCTGTACTTATAGTTGCTAACAAATAAGACCTCAAGAACTAATTTTGTCTCTCAGAAACTGAGAAATTGTTAGCAATGGGTGAGCTGAGCTCATCAACTCATTGGCTTTTGCAGCCTTCCTGTGCAATCATAGGAAAGGGAATAAAGGAAGGACTTGAGAAACTACACTATATGATAATTAAAGGAAGAACAGCATTGTGGCAACAGAAAAAGAAAAACTGAATAGTGATACCTTTTATATCTGTGTGGAGTAGGGTTTTTCACTGGTCTGATTTTGACAAATGGAAGTGTCTACAGCCTGTTTTGCCTCTCTGCCATTCTGGATGTTATTAAAGCTTTGTTTTGTTTAACAATCAGATGCCCAACTCTGTCGCCTCCTGGAAGACGGGTAAACGCAGTGCTTCTTAAAGTGGTTTCTCTCCCCACTCCACAAATCTTTTGGTACTACTGTTTTGGGAACCAAGCAAGGATAGTAAATTCACCAAAAAACACTTGTGGAAATTTGACCTGCAGTTAGTGAAATA